GTGTGAAAAGCCAATCGCAAGTTCTCAGTCACGCCTGACTGATGGTGGTTTTGCTTCTAAGTATATTTTTATTGCACCATAACGAAGATTGACACAATTCTGACAATAACGTCACTCTAACCTAATCGTTTACACGTAAAGATTTGATTGTGTCTATTAGGCTACACACTACAGAGACGCATCAGAAACCCTCCTGTAACGGTCCCCTACCCCTTTGGATCTCGGTAGAATCACCAGAACCGGGTCGATTAGGAACAGATCTGGGTAGAGTAACTTAAAACTTCTACAATAATGTAAAGACCCTCATACTCAAGAATCTGGAACCAGGAAATATTTGGAATTTTTACTTGATAAATGATGTAAATTCGTCAATTACCAAAACATCTGTTGACTAATTCTGTCAGCGGACCAGTTGTTAAACAGTTATAATTACTACCAATCACTGGAAATGTTGTGGTGTGTCAACTTCTGGTCATTTTGATGTTCTCAAACACTGAAGGAGATGAACAGATGTGTCTGTCTCTGCTCAAACATGCTGATACAGACGTTCAGCCTGATGTCACGATTGCACATACGATTGCTAAAATGAACACAATGTGCTTCCTCAAAGTGTCCCCAAGTTATTGAATATCAATTCATCTCCAACCTGATTTTTACCTGAAAAGGATGTGATGTATTAATCAGTGTTTGTGTGTGTCGTGGTCAGAGGCTTTCGCCATCAGGGGATTTGAGTGTTGCAGCTTGTTATGGTGCAACACCGGAGCAACCGACAAGTCTGAGCTGATGAATAGGACGCTGCTGCTAATGATCGTTAAAATGCTGCTTTCTCCACATGTAGCACTGGGCCATATATCAGCCACGGAGATGGACCTTACAAGCCCAGACGCACACATCACACACACTAATCAGCAGCTTTCCAGTAGCCGTGGCAACTGACTGCAGGATCTCCTCCCCCCCCCTCCCTCTTTATATCCAAAGCTTTTGCTTTCATGACCTAATCCTCCCCTCATCCTTATTCTTTTTCCTCCGCGGCTAACGAAGAAAGAGAAAGTTAGACCAAGCCAAAAAAAAACAACTGAAAAAACGAGCCGAGGCCTGAAAGCGCTCTGCAGGCCGCCGAGCACCTGATTTCCTCTGGGAGCGGAGCGCAGATACAGAAATAAAGGAGTGACCGTGTGAAAGGGAAGAGGGAGAGAGTAGATAAAGACTGGGTTTACCTGCCGGGTGGGACGAGGGGAGATGGAGCACATCAAACCTGACGTGCACAGTGAGCTGACTGGTAATGCTGGGGAAGGAATCAAACAGAGGGCCCCTCACGAGAGCACCAAATGTGTGTTCATCCACAGCTGAAAATAGTCCTCAAACAACCTTAAAGCTACAGTTAATGATTGAAGCTGCTTTACCAATTTGTATTAAATAATTAGAATATTAACGTCAGAAAAGAGAGCAATGAACAGTATCGGATCTTTGTCGTCTGCTTTAACCGTTCATAACCTATAAGACAGAGACAGGTCAGCTTCCTACAGCGTTGGAGGGAGCTCTTTCCTTTGCATCTCTTGGCACTACCACACATTCAGTACACATTGTTTCATTATATGTTTACAGCCCGCTTGAAGGACAACATGTCTTGACATGTCTGTCTTAAAGGTGTCGGTCACCATCACAAGGTGCTCTGGTCTGTTCTCTACACCCACATTCCTCCAGCCTTGTCATGGAAGATCTCACAGAAAGGGACGGCCAGTAGTCGGACTGACCCTTTTTAATTTGAGATCGAAAGAAGCCACAGTAAAACATTGGCTCATATTTCATGATGTACCGTGTAATCGCATTATGTCATTACTTACTGTAGTGCTATTCATCAATCCCCTGTGGCGGATTTCACCTTTAACTTGGATGCTGCTGAGTCATCATGGTGCTTAAGAGCAACTTTGCCCCTGTGCATATTTCCACCCAGCCTCTTGTTACACTCTGTGGTCTGTTTTGGCCCACTTAGACTCCTGTGTATCCGTCCATGTTGCTGTCTGTGTTATATTGATAGTTTAGTTGGTTCCTACTAAAGACCCTTAAAAGCCACAAATAATATAATGTAATTTCCCAGAACAGCTGGGCACCGTAGTTATTAACAAACAGGAGGAAAGGGGGATTTTGTTGGGCACTATTTTCAGCTGCGGACTGATACACGTTCGGTGCTCCGGTGAGTATTTCCAGCTGCAGGACGGCGTATCTGAGATCGACTCAAAATAAAGTTCCGTGTGGGTGTTCATCATAATGACGGAACATAACATTCAGTATCAACACTGTTGCCGTGTGCGTCATGAGTAACTCCTATAGTTCATTCTGGTTTTACGGCGAGCAGGAAGGGCCAGTTTATCCTTTCTGGAGACGGACATGTGCTGTCCGAAGGAGGACGACGAAGACAAATGTTTACTCCTCCTTTGGCAGCTGACTCCCGAGCAGAGAGAGATTCCTCAGTTAACAACGAGGCCTTTCTGTTCAGTAGGGGAGAGGAATGAGGTGGGTTGAAGGTGAGATCCTCTCCTTGACTGTGAACCCTCCCATGAGAGGCACAGCAGCCTCCAGAGAACCTTCCAAACGTGCTCCTGCATTTCAACCCTGTTACATATTGACACATTCCTCAGATCTTACTCATTGACCGGGTAATGTGACCCGGCTCACAAATGTAAAAGCTGTGGATTGTTTGCTCACGGAGTCTCTACAGGATGCAGTTTACTGTAGATGTGTGTTTATTTAGAGCTGAGCCATGAATGAACAAAGCTACTGTGAGAGCAGCTCGGCCCCCCTTCAGATCCAAAGAGCAGGGACAGCTTTAGGAAACAACATGGCAGTGAACAAATAAGAGTGCTGTGCGGATGACGTCTTTTCGGAGGCCAATCCCGGAAGTTGGCATCAACAAAAAGCCATTATTATTATTATTATTATTATTATTATTATTATTATTACTACTGCAGGAAATAAACTCTGTGGCAAGCAAAAGTTCATGATACTTGGACATTTTGTTCAGCAACATCATCGTCATTATAGACTGACATACGTTTCTGTGGTGATGACACACATTGAGCTGAAAACCGTAGCGAGTCAAAGAAGTGAGCCCCCCCCCCCCCCCCTTATCTTCCACCAGCACATTCACACCCTGCATGTTCTTAGAAATATTGCCGCAAAAGCCAAAGATTCTGTTCCTTGGAAGCCCTCCTCTGCATCATATTGCAACATGACAAAGAATCAAATGAATAAATATGCCCCGCCCCCTTAATAACCAGCTAACTATGTAGTCACATTGTCGTTGAGCGGTGACTGAGGGAGCAGTCAGTTTCATTGTTCAGTTTTGGTCCAGCGGTGGTGTTGATGATGTCACCAGAGAAACTAGACTCCACAGTTTGTGTCGTTAAATAGAAGTCCGAGTGACTTAAAACTCTTGGAATGACGCTTCCTCGCTCCCCCCGTCTTTCTTTCTACCTCTGACTAGTTCAGGTGACCTACAGGCCATCACAACAGTCCCCTGCACTGACATGTTGATACCAGATCACCGTGGTGATCCTCAGTGTGAAGCTTCGTACACAGAGCCACACCAGGCGTCATTGGTCGCAGTGATGGTAACATTGCTGTCGCATCATATTGGAGGTGATGCGGTTATTCCCTGAGCCGATATTTATCGATGTATTTATAACGGCGTTACTAGCATTGTCTGTGTGGCTGCAACAAAGCAGATTGTTTTCCAGATTAATCACTTGGTTTGTCAAGAAAAAGTGAAAATGTATCTTATAATTTCCTAGAGCCCAGGGGCCATCTTTAAACTCAACCATCAGTTGAAGCTGCAAGATATTCAGTTTACTCTTTGTGTGGCAAAGAAACGCAGAGCCTCTTAGCTGTGACCTGTAACCAGAGACTGTTTGGCATTTTTGCTTGACGTTTCTCCTCTTTTATTTTTGGCTGCTTCCTCGATATGTTTTTAAAGATATATGTATTATGCATACGCAAGCATTTAAATTTCTAGCTCCACTGGATTAAGATGGAGGCTGGGCCCCGTATTTACTCGATGCTGTAGTGAATTCAGGGCTGATTTGATGATGGATCACCGTGTGGTTCAGTCAGGGTGAGGAGTTCCAATCTCTGGATTAGTCGAATTGGAGTCCCACCCCTCCCCCTCCCTCATTCTTTCTGTGATTCACTGACTACTCCGTCATTACACTCTCTACTTCTGTCTGCTTTCTTCCAGTAACAGCCCCCTCCCCCACACCCACCACCACCACCATGATACGACCTGCACCTCTGACTCAGAATCAGACGTCCGAATTAGTCACTTCCACATTTGTTAAGATGATGTCTCCAAAGAGCGTTAGCCTCCCAAACAATGTTAAGTGATTTGTTGAGATGAGGACAGCATGAGCAGTGACTCTGTGGGTCAGGTCCAGCTCAGCTGATCCGGTTTCCACATGAGGTTTTTGGAGCCTTACTGGCGCCTCCTCGTGGCCGGGCATCGGAACTGCGCTTGCTCTGCGGCTCATTTCCAGGAAATGATTTCAGTGGGCGGCAATGTGAGCCTCTGCGAATCCGAGGATGACGGTGGGAAAGAATGTCAGCAGCAACAGTGTGATGGGGAGGGGAGCAGAAGCTGCTGCGTTGAACGGGTCCAAACGTTTGAATGACGAGATCTTGTTGTCCCTGGTGCACAGCGTCGATGCAGATGGCTTTTTGGGGCTTTCTCCTCTCCTCGCCTGTGTTTTTGCTGCGGTGGACGGAAAGTTCCCCATGTGAGCGTGTGGCTTGCGACAGTCATACGGAGACCCAGCTGTGGGTGGCTCAGCAAACCTCTGCTCGTTTGAGGCCCGGAGACCTTTACAGAAGGGACTCTACCTGACCCTCTAAACCTGAGACCTTTTGTTTCTGAACGGGGACTTTTGGAAAGTGTGTGTGTGTATGCGTGTGTTTTTTCAGATTTGACTACTCTGGTGTTAACCCTGTCTTTTTTTCTCGTCTGCTAGGAGCGCTTCGCCGAGATCTTCGGGCAGGACGCGGCGGCGGAGAGCAGGAGGTCTCAGGAGAGCTTCAAGAAGTGGCTGCTGGCAGGGGTGACGCTGGTGACCGGCGTCGTGGTGGGCTCGCTCATCGCCCAGAAACGCCTGTGAGAGGGGGAGGTGCTCGCCGGGCCTCCCTCTCCATCCGCCGCCCTCAACCCACGCTTACCACAGAAGTTAAAATGAAGGTCTCGTCAGAACTGCTGATGATGTTTACTTTTTGTTATTGTTTTGT